TTCACTAACTACTAGTCTGAACCATGTTGGTAGATCCAGTCTATTTGGTTGGGAGTCCGCATGACTATTATAATCAATGTTTGGAGACTGTGGGTGATATGGCTCAAAATTGATCACAATGGCGTTAGTGTATATACACTCTTTGTCTTCCCTTAAACTATAAGATTAAAATTATTTCATATGTTTCTTTCTTTCTGTACTATATCCTTACATATAATCTTTCCTTACACCATTAAGTTAACTGTTTCTATAACTCCGGTGTTCGTCTTGCTATGCTAATAAGGTATGGCAACTTGGGACGATGCATACATATGCTGGTCCTACGTTGTAACTGACTGACTGACTAAAGAATAAGAGATGTGTTGATTACTTTTAGCAGTAGGGTTAATTAAATTCTTTTTTAAATAAAAAAAAGAAGAAATAAAACCTAAGGGATAAAAACATAATCCAATTGACTATGAATGCATCCATGACATCTCTTACTGACTCTCACTCTCTCTCTCTCTCTCTTAACATATGATATTGATTTAAAATATAATTATTTTGTTTAGATTAAGATTAGTTCATTAAAGTTATTCATTATTGGATTAAGATAGTAATGGCTAACTATACCTGGATTAGTAATATTAAAATATACATGTATATTAAAATTTAATAAGAAGAAAATACTATATAAAAGTTTTATCCATGATAATGAATTAGTGATTGATATACTCTTGACTTGAATGCAATGAAATAGATAAGTTTCTATTAAATGAGATCAATAATGACACATAAATGAGATATTTACCTAGATAATAAAGCATAAAGAATGATATGGAAATATTTGTTCTATGATTGTTTACTATACTATTTATAAAGCAATTGAATTTCGAAAACATTTGTCAAAATATAAATGAAAAGTACATTCTAACTTTTAGGTCCTATAGTCCATTAAATATCATATGACAAAATCGCCAATTTGAACACTGACTTTTATGACCTTGTCCTTGTAATAATACAATGATGTGTTAATCAGCATAAGCAGTCTTGAGTTCACTCAGGCCTTATTGGTCCTCTGAAAGAGTAACTTCTCGTTTAAACCAATCCAGTTTAGTTCAGAACACAAATATCAGTTTCCGCTTTATGAATCGTATATTTCAGACATACTTGGTTTATATATCAACAAACCAGACCGCAGCACACCATAAAATGAGAAATAGTTATTATACAAGATCAAGCCAAAAGTGTCTATGGGTATGAGAGTAAATTGTATAATAGTAGCCAATAGATCAAATGAAGGGTTACAATAAGAGAAATATCAATATATATAATCTAGTTACTTAATAGTTAAGAATATATATAATAACAGCCCATAAATAGTTCCCAGAAGCTACCCATGATCAAATCTTCCTCGGACAGAACACTAACAAGAGGTTTCTTTTAACTTATAATCCTAATGTACTGGGTGTAAATGATTAATATAAACTCATCATAACTAAACGAAGGATAAATAACATAGAATATTATTCCTATAGGATAAATAATCATAAATGAATAGAAATCGACCATAAATACAATCACATTTCTACATTTGTAAGATATGGATAAGAACTAAAGTGAACCGAAAGGAATACTTTGCACTATTCATTGTTATTTATACGTATCGGCTTAGGATATACGCATATTGTTAGCAAAAACTGATCGAAACTCGATTCTGAATATCAATAACAGGATAATATACACATATTCTTAGCAATAAACAGTTTGGTAAGTTAATTTCCTAATATGTACCAAGCTTTTATATGACTGTCAATTGATTTCACTCGAGGTAAACTAAGGAGTATGGACAATGTCCTTTGTAAGTCATCTACTTTGACAGTATATATCGAGGTGAAAAATCAGAGAGACAGTTACTTGAAACAATAATAATAATCTATAATCGATCTAAGGTAGACCACCATTGAAAATCTGGAAGCACTGAACGACCGTTTCGTCGTTGTATGGAACTCCTTTGCAGTGCACATCTACGATCCCGGGACTCAAACCCATAATTTTCGGTTTTACTAGCGAACATTTAACCTCTAGACCCCTGAACTGGCATCCAACGATATTAATGTCGTGAATTGGCACTTCTGAAAAGCCCCACACTATAAAGAAACGGCTTTCCAGTACTTCCAGGCTTTCAATAATGGTCTAGATTAGATCAACCAATGAATTCAACTGTGAAAATACTACAATCTCCACAAATCTCTATATTGATAAAAGAAAAAAAGTTTTAAACTAAAATAGAAACATTGAAAAATCCTATTCAATAGAATTACATATAAAGAATTAAGATCAAAGTATGCTATAATTACAAAACTCTATGTAATTACAGTTCAATTTGATCTCTTCCTTACTGTTGGAAATACATGAATATTCGAAAAAAAGAAGGAAAAAGAAAACAAGGATACAATAATGAGAAGTTATAGAAACAAATTGTATGAATTACTTATACTATAAGTCGAAAAATTAATACTTTCCAAATATTTAAAACTTATTCACTAGGTGTACAATATGTATACTCAGTTTTAAATCTTACATTTTATATTCTGGATAATAATAATAATAGTGTTGAAATTACTTCAGGTACACAGTATGTTATTATTCGTTTAAAACAAATGCGTGGAGTAGTCGCTTGGGTGAGACTATAATTTATGGACGAACCAATCATGTACAGAATATCAAGTGTCGAATTTTGGAGCGAAATTCACTCAATCATTTGGTTAAATACAGTTTTGGCATTATAACTTACGTCAGTTCGTGATGAAAACCTCAAATCTCATTTTTAACCTTAATCATCAACTGTAAATCATAATTCTAAATCGTCACATGGTCCTGGTTATCAGGTGGACACTCTCAAGGTCACTTTAGTGTCGCTCAAACGTAATCCATAAATTATAGTCTCATCGTCTCTTGATTAGAATTCGGTCTCTAAATTAACATGAACAACCTTATAATATAACATGACAATGTTAAAAATTCTATAGTTCATTTTTTTAATGGCTAAGGATAGACAATCTCAATCAGTCATTCATAATCAACGTAGAACCTGCCACATATCAGTAACGGTTCAGGTTGTCACAACATATTAGCATAGTAAAATGAAATTATCAAGATAAATCTCAGAGTAGCAAAAGTAATAACAGTATCAAAGGTAGTAAAAAAGCAGATTAGACTCATGAAGAAAGAATGGATTCGTACAACAAAAAAATATCTAAAATAATTTTAAAGCTTAATATCAAAAGGAAACAAAAAGTAATACAGTTGATTGATTGTGACGAATTCTGAGCCATGTTGTTCAAAGAATCGAATGTTGTTAGGCATATGTAATATACATTCTAGCCACCTCAGTCGATAAAGCTTCACTGCCCCAACAACTAATTTACTAAACTTACTTAGCACTGTGTTCAATAAGATTTGGGATGAAGAACAAGTACCAAAAGACTGGAAGGAAGAACTTCTGATCGAAATACCAAAGCAAGTGTGGTAACTACAGGGGCATCACTCTTCTCTCAAGACCAGGAAAAGTTTTCAACAGGGTATTGTTAAACAGAATGAAGGACTCTGTAGACGCCAAACTTCGAGACCAACAGGCTGGATTCCGTAAGGATAAATCCTGTACAGACCAAATCGCAACTCTACGGATCATTCTCGAACAATCAATTGAATGGAATTCACCATTCTACATCAACTTCATTGACTACGAAAAAGCACTTGATAGCATGGATATAACAACACTATGGAAGCTTCTTCGACACTACGGCGTGCCTCAGAAGTTAGTCAATATCATATGGAATTCCTATGATGGGTTAAACAGCAAAATTGTGCATGGAGGACAATTGACAGACTCGTTCGAAGTAAAGACCGGTGTCAGGCAAGGTTGCTTACTCTCACCCTTTCTCTTTCTCCAGCTGATCGACTGGATCATGAAGATGTCAACATCTGAAGGAAAGTACGGGATACAGTGGACATCTAGAATGCAGCTGGACGATCTAGACTTCGCAGATGATCTGGCTCTTCTATCCCAAACCAACAACAAATGCAGGAGAAGAAGACCAGCGTAGCAGTAACCTCAACAACAGTAGGTTTCAATATACACAAAGGGAAAAGCAAGATTCTCCGATACAACACAGAATGCACCAATCCAATCACAATTGACGGAGAAGATTTGGAAGATGTAAAAGCTTTACATATTTGGGCAGCATCATTGATGAACAGGGTGGATCTGATGCAGATGTGAAGGTGCGGATCGGTAAAGCAAGAACAGCATATTTACAACTGAGGAACATCTAGAACTCAAAACAACTATCTGTCAACCAACACCAAGGTCAGAATTTTCAATACAAATGTCAAGACAGTTCTACTGTATGGGTTGGAAACCTGGAGAACTACGAAAATCACCATTCAGAAGATACAAGTGTTTATTAATAGCTGTCTACACAAAATACTTCGGACCCTTTGGTTAGACACTATTAGCAACAACCTAATATGGGAGAGAACAAACCAGATCACAGCGGAGGAAGAAGCTCTGGAAGTGGAAAGCACCCAACTGCATCACAAGGCAAGGCGTCACATGAAATCCTCAAAGCCAAAAGAGAAGAGGAAGACCAAAGAACACATTTTGTTGAGAGATGGAGACATGAAAAAAATGAACAAAATTGGACAGAACTGGAAAGGAAGGCCTAGGACAGAGTGAGTTGGAGAATGCTGGTCAGCGGCCTGTGCTCCATTGGGAGTAACATACGTAAGTAAGTAAGTAACTTAGTACTGTGAGTTTAACTTCATCATTACTCACTAAGCGATTTTAAAATATACGAACAATGTTTCGAAGGCAGTTGTGATCAAATATTACTTAAGTATGAATATCCTCTATAGACCTATAACAGTTCTTACTTTATTCAAACAGTACTTATATAATACATGAAACAAGTACAATTTATATATGTAAATGTAAGTGTAAAAAGAAAGAAACTTACGTGTTAAAGTCATTCCCAACTCTAAACATTTTCGATAACGACAATGTGGGCATTTACCACGACCGGGACCTTCAACACGACATCTACCACCCATTGGACATATTGATTCAGAAACTGTAGATCCAATTTCAGAATTTCGTAATCTGGCAGCTGTATGTCGCATGAAAAATTTCTATAATCAAGAAAATTGTTACAGTAAATTAATTTGTGTTTCTATTTCGTCAAAAAATTAAATATTAACATTAAAGATCATGTAACTCAATAGATTATGGAACTCAATAATTAAGTATAAACTTTATGTAATTAACTTTTGTCTATTCATTTAGTATTAGTCTATAACAGAAACCAAGGTAGGTGGAAGAAATTTGTAATTTTGTAATTGAACTACTAGTGTCTCAGTCATCACGTTACCAAATATATATGGAGTATCAGAAGGGGTTTTATGGAGATTGTAGTAATTTCAACAGTTGAGATCACGAGTTAATTGAATCTAGACCACCATGGAAAACCTGAAAGCACTGGACGGCCGTTTTGTCCTAATGTGGGACTCCTCAGCAGTGCGCATCCACGACCCTGCCCCGCGGGATTCGAACCCAGGACCCACCACTGAGTCGGCATCCAACGGTTTTAATGTCTAACTCCGTCTAATCCACAAATTGATCGACATATCCACCATTGCCATCAGTAAGTTACTATTTCACAACTGGATGCGCACTGCTGAGGAGTCCTACAATAGGACGAGGTGGCCGTCTAGTGCTTCCAGGTTTTCCATGGTGGTCTAGCTTCAATTGACTCATGATCTCAACTGTTGAAATTATATGGAGTAATCCTTTTTAAAAAAATCTAATACAAATTTAATGTAAAATGAATTAAATATTATCTTCATTTGATTCCTACCATTCCCTTTTATTGATTATCTCTCATTGTACTTATGGTAAAGTGTTACATAACTTCAATCAATATTACAATTTTAAGATTGTTTATATTTCTATAACTAACTATTTTTTTATACATTGAATAAAGCATCTTACCAAATGTTGCGTGATGCAGGTCAATCAACAAAAACAAAAAAGAAAGATTTTCTTTTAACTAACCGAATGGAAATTTATGTAAACGTTTTGGATCTACATAAATGTTGATTTAGGGAATGATTAAATTCATTAGTTGTTTAAATCATGATAAACATGAGAATTAAGAAATGAAACACTCAGATCACAATTGATTTATAAAATGAACTGAACTCAAAATTAGGTCAGGAGAATGTTGTCAACTTAAAAAACTAGTTTACTGTAGATTATACATTAAAGTTTATCATCATCATCATCACAGTAATTGTGAGAATAGTCTAATACATATTATACATTTCATTTCATTTGTAGTTAGATTTAACATAGTCAAAAGATTTACAGACATCATGAACATAATTGTAATAATGAAATACTGGATAGTATGTCAACACCGAATACTTTCTGTTCTCCTTTATTATGATCATAATAATGTAACTACTCAATATGGAAATATGATTCGATTGGTTAGTAGTTGAACTATTTAGCATTTATCAATTAATAGGTCACTGGTTCGAGCTCACATGGCACCTAGGTCTAAACAGCTAGGTAGTAATACTAACCAAGCATATAACTCACTACTTGTCAGATGAATTACAATATTTATGACAGTAATTAAGGGCATAGATTAGTGCTTTGAAGTTTATAAGCTAATGATCTAACCGAAATACATAAACTAAAGTACATGAGATGATATTAGAGGAGCATGTATCTGTGCACGACATTCAAGTGTCCTAATAATTAAATCATTGCTTATATTATTTAGTGACAAACATATTATTTGAGATTACAAGTCAATGATAAATTTTTAAATTACAAAAGGAAACTTTCAGGTAATCACACCCCTTTAACTATTATGACTAAATAATACAATTCAACTTATATATGAAGTAAGTAACCATGTAATTCAGTAAAAAGAGTAACACCACCACAATTAAGTTGCATATTTGTCATAAATTCACATTAATCAATGAATTTTCTTTTGTGTTTGTGCGTGTATATAAATAAAAGAGAATGATAAACATGTGATTCTGTTCACTTGATTCTACAATCTAAATCAACTAGATTTATATGTAATTCAAATAATAATAAAAAAATAATGCTGAATATTACAAAGTGATTAATCAAATGTTTAAGGTGGTTGTTGTTCAAGCGAGAACTTTGATATATACATATACTTAAATAGATTGTCTTATACATATATCATGAATAGTGATGTTGTTCATTTTGTCTCAGGTTTTATGTTTAGACTATAGTATTTATTACAACATATACAAACTACATTTCAAACTTTCATTTACTGTAATACCATGCAACTATCGGTAATGTTAATAATAATAATAATAATAGTACATAATAAAACTAATGTATATCATATTAGTGAATCATATTAAAGTAATAATATTTTCATGAAATTGTTTAACTATTCATTCATTTGAGAAGAAACCCAATGTAAAAAAGAAATACTTCTACAATTAGGATCTACAATGAAATATTACGAATAATAATAATAATAATAATAATAATCTAAATATGAATAAATAGTTGAAGTACAAAGAATATAAGACAAGAAAGTTTCCCTCGTCTCTTTTTCTTTTTTTTTTCTTTTCTTGTTGTTGTTGGTATTAAATGTCAACTTCATTGTTCATCTTTTTTTTTTAATTTATTTATTTGTATCTATGTATGTTTAATTATGTGAACACGTATACACGTACATACACTATAAACAAAAACACAATTTTGAATAATAATAATAATAATATCATTTATAACAATGGTTACTTTTAACTTACCTACCCCATATATACATGTAAAACACAATAAGAAAAGATATAATTTATTCAATTATTGATAGAAATATACATTTTCATTTATACAATTGCTTAATCTGTAAAATTATACACAATAACATTTTAAAGTGGTCAAATAATGATGACTGAAAACATGAAATAATATTTACAAATGATATTCGTTATAGATTGACTTAAATTAGGGTATCATTAGAACTAGGAAATATTAGACACTTATTTTATTCAAGTATGAGAATACTTATTTGTGCGTACTAACAATCTCCACCTCATTAAGGAATGAATGCAAAACCTTTAAGCTTTATAACAAATGAGATTTGTGTGGAGCATATGTATTTAGTGCCTCCTTGTACCAATATATATGTGTTAAAATAAATAAATAAATAACTAAAGAGACATGTATTTACTTCAGACAATGGATAAATGGTTGCGCAACCATTCATGAATTGATTGAAGTTAAACATTAACACTGTTGGATGCCTTGACAATGGTCTAGAGGTTAAGCGTTCGCGCGCGAAACCGATAAGTCTCGGGTTCGAATCTCGAGAGACGGGATCGTGGATGCGCAGTGCTGAGGAGTCCCACACTTTATTATTTATTTTAACACATAGATATTGGTACAAGGAGACAACAAATACGCATGCGCCACACAGATCTCATTTGATATGTGAGAGGGCTGTGATACTGACCGGGTGCCTAAACCGAAGCAGGTGGTTTTCTTAGGGGGTCACACTCGGAGTTTTCGACATGAAGGTCTGATCCACAAGGCAGTGGAGCATCGTAAGGAGATGCAGTCCCATGGTAGCCAGTGACCAACGATTGGTTCATACTCCATTTGTCCCTTCAGTATACTGGAGTCTATGTGCACCATTGGTTTGGAATGAGGGTTTTCCAACTCCCCTAGGTGAACTCTCCATGTCCACCAAACCGGTTAAAGCACCGGACATTCGTTTTCGTACTCTCAATTTCGTAAACAACAGTGATGCCGTGAGAAGGCAGTGAGTAGGACTTCCCTTGCAGAGGCTATATACGCGTGGCCATGTGAGAGCATTTCAAGAGGGAGAGCGAACTATCCCCACTCTTGGCCATATCAGGGCATTTGGGGGCAGTCCCACACCAAAACGAAACAGTCGTTCAGTGCATCCAAATTTTCCATAGTGATATAGTTTCAATTGACTCATAATCTCAATTATAAAAAAAATATGTTTTAGTTGACTTTGACTCTTAACGAATAATATTTAATCTCTAATTCATGACAATTTCAACTTGAATAAAAGAACAAAATCTCGTAACATTTAATAATTTCAATTTTGTTAAGTATTAAGCTACTAATCCATTATTGTATAGTATTGAATTGGACTTAAAAATGGTTCTTTAATAAAATTAAAAGAAAAAAAGAAATTACCATATACAATTCAAACACACATTATTTATCAACTATATGTTGTGATTAGTGAGATGTTGAAGAAGATTTGTAGCTCAGGTGGATGATTTTGATGGAGTTTTGTTCTCTGCGCGCAGAGAACTCCATCAAAAGCTGTGATTAGTATTAGGATGATAGTGATATGGGTGTTCAGTAATTCGTAACTGTAGATAAGTATTTATTTAACAATGATATTTTACATTTGGGAGAAAGAAAAGTAATTATGTAAGTTAATCCGGATTAAACATTGTTGAAATTGATTATCACGAAAGTATTATCATTTGAAATACTAATTCGATAAAAAAAAAATAAACGATTTTGAGGTAGTAAAGAAAGTTTATCATTCAGGTGAATGATTCTGGTAGAGTTTTGTTCTCCTAAGGTGGATTGTTTAAACTATGGATCTTTCATTTTTTCGTCTGAACAACGTCATTTGATTTGAATATATATATATACCTTATATGGTTTAAATTTCATGTTTTGTTATGGTCGAACATCTGTTTTATACCGACCCACTCTTTAAAGCGAACAGTTCAACATAATAATATTGTGATCATGTACCAATCAATGTTAGACCACTATTGAAAACATGGAAGCACTGGATGGCCATTTTGTCCTAGTATAGGACTCTTCGACAGTGCGCATTTACGATCCCGTACGCATAATTCGAACCCAAAACCTTCGGTCTCGCTCGCGAACACTCAACCTCTAGGCTAATAATGCTAACTGATGAAATAGGATTTGAATCATCAACCAGTGATAATCTCTGTAGAATTTGGTTCGCATTTTTGTGTTGGTTTACGTTCTCGTTTCAGATTAACATGACGGGAAAAAATTACCAAGATCAAAAGTGGAAGAGTCGAAACAATGTAGTAGC